TCAGAATCATTCATGTTAACACATCTTCTCTCTCTCTGTACATTTTACGCCCAGTGGTAACACATCTTTCAGGGTGCATTTTAGTCAGTGGTAACACATCTTTCAGGGTGCATTTTAGTCAGTGGTAACACATCTTTCAGGGTGCATTTTAGTCAGTGGTAAACACAGTTTTTGATTTAAATGATGTATGATTCCTTTTCATAGCTGAGTAAAAACTTACCTGCATCAGAAACATCATTTTCATTATCACTGTTAACACTATCATCTTGCGAAATACCATCAACAACATTTCCATTAGATCTGATCTTTTTCTCTTTCTTCCTTTTTAAAACCATGAATGCTTCATTGATTTTTCTTTGAATCTGTTGTTAAAATACATAACAATCATTCAAGCACTACTTTATAAAAAAAAAATAGGCCAGTGGCCTGTTGCTCAACGGCTATTGTACAAAATATTAGTGCTGTATATGACAAATACCCCAAAAGGCAGTGAGTGAGACAATAAATCATAATGCTAAAAGTGGATTTTTTTACAAAAATAACAGAAATATTCAATGAAATTAGAATCAAAGAGAGCTTAAAAAGAACTCCAGTGTGTTGAGAGAATAACATGATATTTGCAAATATCTGAATTGGTAATACATGTATATACCAAGTTTTGTTGAAATATGTTGAATGGTTCTTGAAGTAGCACCCAAATAGCTTGAATTTCACTAGCTGATATGCAAATTAGATAATTTGCATAAATTTCCACCAAAAACTAAATATATCTGGAAACTACCCAACACATCTATGCACCAAGTTTTATTAAAACATATTGAATGGTTCTCAAGATATCACCAAAATGGCCTAAATATTGGTATGTAAATTAGGCAATTTGCATAATTTTCCACCAAAATCAATCATGTCTATACACATTTAAATGAAATATCGCCAAACAACCACACAAAGTTGTCAATGAAATAAAAAACACATGTATGCCTAACACCAAAGCATTGGAAATAGTGGTTAGTTGAAATTCCATTTTTAACCAAAAATTACAAAAATATTTGCCAAAATTAGAGAATTAAAGATATGGCCATGGGATGAACAATCTAGTAGATGTCAACACAAGGTACATACATACCAAGTATCAAAGCATTCAGGCTACCAGTTTTGAAGAAGAAGTCGAAAATAGAATTTTTTACCAAAAATGACCATTTTTAAATATTCGCCAAAATTAGGAAATTGAAAATTTCTTTACCAAATTAACAAAACTGATAGAGGACAACCCAAGGCACATGCACTATCAATATAAGCACTGTAAGACCACTTAGTGTCACAGTAGCATAGAAGAAATTTTTGAGTTTTGGGGGGCTAATTTGCATACTTTTTGGCAGATCGACTTCTCATGAACAAACTACTATCTACACTCATCAAGGCATCCACACACCAAAGATAGAGTCAAACAGTTTGGCGGTTTTTGAGAAGAAGTCGTGCACAGACAGACGGACGACAGACGCAGGACAGAAACCCATCCCATAGGCTCAGCAGACCTATGGTCCGTTGAGCCAAAAAACATGTTTTAACTCAATGTGCAAGCCAATCAAATAAAGATTTGGTATAGATTAAGCAAAAGGGCTACTGCAATACATCAGTGTTCTGCCTAAGCAAAATTTTGTGAATTGAGAGAATTTTCCACTGAGAAAAGTTTTTATATCTGCTCAGAAAACACCTTGATTTAGGTGTATTTAAATACATGGTAAATGCATGGCATTAAAAGCAATATTTCGCAGATTGTCAAATTTTACAGAAAAACTAAGGCCCTGGGCAGAAAACTGATTGCATCACTGTAAAATGCATGCTATGTTACTGAAATATTTTTACCCATGGCAATTTATTCTTTATTTTCTTCTCATCATAAAGCAGTGAGTTACCATCTTCCAGTGAATTGGACCGTCTACTTTCACCAGATGACATCTTTGCAGAACCCTAAAAAACATGAAACTGAGATGTTTGTAAGGTACAAATTAAGAAACAACCTTTTTATTTTATCTTCAATCATAACCCACATTTCAGTCATTGTGTCAGAGTATCACTGCAATTGGACTCGTACAATATTGGACTTCTTCTATACATTATTAATATACAGTTATACAGTTCTCGTTTGTAATTGGCTAATTCAACATTTTAGGGCAAAAAACTATTTTCTTGTGTCACAATTTGGACAAAATCTGTCAAGACATGTCTAAGAAATGGTTTAATGACGCAAACAATATTTTCAAGTCAATGTGAGACAAATTTATTGGTGTAATATTTCTGTTAGTTGTGGTGACAGAAAGAACCGGAGAGGGAGAGCTTTACACATATTTGTTCATACAGTGAACTACTAGTTTATTTAAAAGTACCTCTACCAAAATTTTAAATCTGACTTTTTGAGATATCAGAAAATGGCTAATATAAATATATATATTGATTACCCCAGAGCATCTACATGTATGCACCAAATTTCAATGAAATGTGATGAATATGTATATTATGTAAACTAGGCAATTAGTGTTCTAAAGTTTCAATTTAAAACTAATCAAGTCTTTAGCATTGTTTACAGGCACTATACATACCAAGGCTTATTGAAATGATTTAATTGTTTTTTTTTAGATATAGGTGAAAATTTAGGAATTATTATGCATATAATTGAACCCTAAAGCAATCTGTGCATTGTTCTGGGACACATACGTAAATCAAATAAAAGCTAAAAGTAAATTATTATGCAAATTACTATTATTAGGTAATTATTGTGGATGTATATAAACCTAAAACTAATTAGATAGTCGCATTGTCTTTGTCTATTTATGTACCAGGGGACAAATAAATTTACCAATAATTATGCAAACCGGATAATTAATATGTGCATAATTTAATGTCAAACCATCTATTTACGAAGTTTCATTGAAATGTATATAGAACTTGAGATAACGATTAAAAGGCGACAAATTTAGAATTATTATCCATATTAGGTTAATAATATGAAGAGATTTTAACACAATATTGACCAGGTCTATGCCTTGTCCACATCCACTCAGACTTACATATAAAATAATGAACCAATTAGGCTGGTAGTGTTCAAAAAGCCAAAAATAGCATATTACGATATTAACATCAAGTAATTTTGTTATTACATAGAAATACCTCATTTTTTTTTTTAGATTTGAGATGCTTATTTTAGAATGAAATGAAGGCATTTCAGTTTCTCCTGACACCTAAATTAGAATACAACAACACAAACTACATGACAGTGAATTTCAAAACTCATCACCCTATGTAATAATAGGGTCCTTCAGTTGCTACCTAGTGTGTCATCTATATAGAATGATAGGAGACAATTAGATTAAAAGCACTATTACAATTAGTTACAGAAAAAGAAATCCTACAAGAGAAGATGACAAGAAATTAATACATATATACATATTAAACACAAATCTATACATATTAAACTCATATCAAAGCCTATTACTAATGACAAAAAAAAATAGATGACCTGTCTAAAAATCTGTTATTCCTGTAATTTAATTTAGCAGATTTCACTTATCAGCAAAACCCTATGAATAATTAAATGTAAGCAAATTTAAGGGTAAAATCCAAAAACAATGAATACTGTCAATAAATATTAGATTACCTGAATAAAAGTCCTTTCTTTTTGTGTTTCTTTTTGGGGGATGAAAATAAGTACCCATCAGCCAAAGGTCACCTTGACTTTGTTCTTTTTAAATACTGAAATTCTGTGTTTAGATCTTATCAGTCATAAGGATAAGTTTAATAGCATCCAAGTTATAGAGAATGTCTGTGAATTAGTAGAGAATTTCACTTATGTCACGAAAGGATCTAAACTAATAGAGGTCTACCTAAGGTTCATACATGTATGTACTAAATATAAAAACAATTAGTGTTTCAGTTTTCAAGAAAAAGTAAGTTAATGTGGGACAACAATGATTGACAATCACCTATCAGCTCCTATCATCTTCTTGTTTAAAGACACATAAAAATAAAACCAACATGGCTCCAAGTCAAATAACAAAACAATTCTTACCCTAATCTTTAAAGAGTGAGCATATCGTCTCTGCATGTCTTCCAAACGCTCAGGCACTGCATACCCACAAACATCCTCATTAACAAGTGCAGTTTGTCTATCATGTGAAATTTCATATGGGTCAGAATATGTGCGATGAGTTTTCTTAGGTTGTGTTACATCAGGTTCTGCATAGATATGTTCTTTAACATGATGGTCAAGTTCTGTAGCTGTCCGTAAATCTTCACTTGAACGTGATCGTTTGAACTTATTAGAAAAGGTACTGATATCATCAATTACCCAATCAGATATGCATTCATAGTTATGTGAACTTGCAGAACTTACTTTGCGAAAAGGTGGATGTGTATCACCTCTTGAATGAGGAGGTGGGGGTGGTGGTAGTGTAGGTGGTGGTAGTTTAATTCTTGTAGGTTCTCCAGCATTAGGTGCGAATTTCTGCAATTTATCAGTTTTATTCTTATTATGAGTCTGTAATGTTTTGGCTTCTTTGTATATATCATGTGCATAGGTACGTTTAGGTTTCTGCGGTGGCATCTGATCCATCTTGTTGACCTTAGATGTTACACAAACTGCCTGTCCTGCTTCCTTTGATTTCACTTGAAAGACAGGTTGGGGTGGTCGCTTTGGTTTAACCACTGGAATGGACTCTTGTTGTCTGTCTCGCACCACTAGTGTTTCATGTAATCCCTCTTGAAAAGATGATAGCGGTCTTCTTGGCTCTGACACAGGTTTTTCTATTGGCTGGTGTATTGTTTTATTATCACCCACTGAATCATGTTGAAATGATGACAGTACTTCTAGGAACTGAGTCTGTCTCTGTAATGGTTCTGTCTTCCTTATCTCAGTAACTTTATTCTCTTGTACTGGTAACCAAAACTCCCTATGTGATTTCTTTTTCTCTGTCTCACTGACTTTCTTTCCCTGTATTGGTAACCAAGACTCCTTATGTGGTTGCTTTTGCTCTGTCTTATTGACTTTATTTCCTTGTACTGGTAACCAAGACTTCCTATGTGGTTGCTTTTTCTCTATCTCACCGACTTTCTTTCCTTGTACTGGTAACCAAGACTCATTATGTAGTTGCTTTTTCTCTGTCTCACTGACATTCTTTCCTTGTATTGGTGACCAAGACTCTCTGTGTGGTTGCTCACTCCCAGTCTCACTGATTTTGTTACATTCAAATCTATCAAGAAATGCAGGGTTCAGTTTCTTTACAGTTGGTTTGTTGGCAGCACTATCTTCAAGCTCTTTATTCTCTTTTTTAATTTCATTCCTCCAGTTTTCATGAGTAAGAGCAGGTTTTGACATCTTGCAGTCTGTCTAGGAAAATAAAAACAAGGTTATACAAGTTTATGCCATTTTAAATGTATAGACATTTGTTGCACATGCACTTGATCTAGACATTCAGACTGTAAATATTAACAATATTTACACATAACATGTTATTGTACTACACTGTAAATAATTCTCATTTTTCTCTTTTTTTCTACATTTATGTAAACCACAAATTGATAACTAAAATTACTAAACTCATTTATATGTGAAGCATAGACAGATAGATAAATGAATTCATGTATATCAAGCTACCTACACCAGATGTATTCATTTGGTACCAGGTGTATTCATTTGGTACCAGGTGTTTTCATTCAAGATGTATTCATTTGGTACCAGGTGTATTCATTTGGTACCAGGTGTATTCATTTGGTACCAGGTGTATTCATTTGGTACCAGGTGTTTTTATTTGGTACCTAGTGTTTTTATTTGGTACCAAGTGTATTCATTTGGCACCAGGTGTTTTCATTCAGATGTATTCATTTGGTACCAGGTGTATTCATTTGGTACCAGGTGTATTCATTTGGTAACAGGTGTTTTTATTTGGTACCAGGTGTTTTTATTTGGTACCAGGTGTTTTCATTTGGTACCTAGTGTTTTTATTTGGTACCAAGTGTATTCATTTGGTACCAGGTGTTTTCATTCAAGATGTATTCATTTGGTACCAGGTGTTTTTATTTGGTACCAGGTGTTTTTATTTGGTACCAGGTGTTTTCATTTGGTACATAGTGTTTTTATTTGGTACCAAGTGTATTTATTTGGTACCAGGTGTTTTTATTTGGTACCAGGTGTTTTTATTTGGTACCAGGTGTTTTCATTTGGTACCTAGTGTTTTTATTTGGTACCAAGTGTATTCATTTGGTACCAGGTGTTTTCATTCAAGATGTATTCATTTGGTACCAGGTGTTTTTATTTGGTACCAGGTGTATTTATTTGGTGCCAGGTGTATTTATTTGGTACCAGATGTTTTTATTTGATACCAGGTGTATTTATTTGGTGCCAGGTGTTTTTATTTGGTGCCAGGTGTATTCATTTGGTACCAGGTGTATTGTTTGGTAGGAGGCATGTTTTCACCTAGTTTAGTGACTGATATATGGTTTTCACCTAGTTTAGTGACTGATATATGGTTTTCACCTAGTTTAGTGACTGATATATGGTTTTCACCTAGTTTAGTGACTGATATATGGTTTTCACCTAGTTTAGTGACTGATATATGGTTTTCACCTAGTTTAGTGACTGATATATGGTTTTCACCTAGTTTAGTGACTGATATATGGTTTTCACCTAGTTTAGTGACTTATATATGGTTTTCACCTAGTTTAGTGACTGATATATGGTTTTCACCTAGTTTAGTGACTGATATATGGTTTTCACCTAGTTTAGTGACTGATATATGGTTTTCACCTAGTTTAGTGACTTATATATGGTTTCCACCTAGTTTAGTGACTGATATATGGTTTTCACCTAGTTTAGTGACTGATACATGTATATGGTTTTCACCTAGTTTAGTGACTGATATATGGTTTTCACCTAGTTTAGTGACTTATATATGGTTTTCACCTAGTTTAGTGACTTATATATGGTTTTCACCTAGTTTAGTGACTGATATATAGTTTTCACCTAGTTTAGTGACTGATATATGGTTTTCACCTAGTTTAGTGACTGATATATGGTTTTCACCTAGTTTAGTGACTGATATATGGTTTTCACCTAGTTTAGTGACTGATATATGGTTTTCACCTAGTTTAGTGAC